TAGAGACGGGGTTTCACCATGTTGGCCAGGCTGGTCTTGAACTCCTGATCTCAAGTGATTCACCTACCTTGGCCTCTCAAAGTGCTGGAATTACAGGAGTGAGCCATTGCACCTGGCCTATTCTCACTGATTGTTATAGTGCCATGTTTTGCAGAATTTGTAGCTTCAATTACTTATATTTGTGCACCTGACTTTTAGGTGAGCTCCGGAATAGCAGTTACTAATTAAGAATGAGCATTTAGAGTAGAAAAAGTGGCAGGAATAGCAAGACTCACTCCCACAGAGCCTCACACAGGTCTAATAGGTGAGGAAAGTCCCCATCTTTCCCATTTTTCTTCATTACCTCCCTGTGGGGCAAGCACTGCCATTATTCGTGAGTCAACTGTCTGAGTTATAGATAAGTAATGACATGAAATTTCACAAACAGGTCTAGATTTCTACCCAGGGAACCACTGTTATCAGAGAAGGGAGTTTGGAATCTTAAGCAGCAAACACATGTTGATTCTAAGTATTTGCCTCCCGATGGCTTGCTCAGAGGGCCTGTTTTCATTGCCCACTTTCTATGTCAGTAAATAATCTTCCCTGGCAGTGGGTCCACCATGTCTGGATGCACACAAGGAAATCTGGTGGGGTCTGGCTGGGGAAAAACACTCCTCAGAAGTTTTGCAGGAAAAGCAGTGAGCCCTTCTTTTAAGCTTGAGAATGCTTTAAAGATGCATCATTGGCAAGACTTGCCAAAGAAATACGGGATCTAAATGTGATAAAACCCACGACATCAAGCTGGCTCTGGAGGTCTCCTTTGAAGTTTGCTGAGTGGATTGTCAGTGGGAGGCTGATATTTACATGTACAAGCACACAAGCGTTACTGCTAATTGTGGTAAATCAGGCTGGCCAGCCTGGCTCTGGGGCTGCCACCGCAGCAGTGTGAAAGCCCTGCATCCCAGGCACATGCCAGGCTCCTCAGAAGTGATCAGCCAGCCAGCATTGTGTGAATTGCATTTGGGTTCACAGTACTATAATTGTGCTTCTCCTGCTATGAGGTGCAGAGAAGGAAAATGGGGAGGAGGGATGTCTAATTTGCCCTAGGAAGATGTGGGGGAGGGACACGCACGGGGGCGGGACATGGCTAAAACACCGACCTTCCCTTGAGAGAGACCATATGGTGAAGTGGAGAGGACACAGCTTTTGCATCAGACAGGTCTTGTATTAGAATTTTGGCTCTGACACCAGCTGTGTGACCTTGGGTCATTTGCAAAACCTCTCTGAGCCTCAACTGCCACTTCTTAAAATCAACTCTAAGTAACCACAGGGTTATTCTTCACAAACACAGCATGCACATGCAAACTTTGGCTTATTAAATAATGGTTTCTTTTTGTTCTATCTACTCCACCCCCCTTCCCATTAGAAGCTTGCTACCTTTCACTCTGTGTTTTCTTCCTCTTGTATTTTCCTGGTGGCATTCAATAAAGCGGGATTCTGATTCCTGCAATGTAGGCCACCTTAGAGCAAAATACACGATCAGGCACCACCAAATTAGGCTATTATGTACTGGATCCTGTCTAACCAAACCAAACCCAACTCAGGCTAAATACAGGAATACATGAAAACATTGAATTTCTCCCCTTTACTTTTTTTTTTTTTTTTTTTTGAGACGGAGTCTCGCTGTGTCGCCCAGACTGGAGTGCAGTGGCGCCATCTCGGCTCACTGCAAGCTCCGCCTCCTGGGTTCATGCCATTCTCCTGCCTCAGCCTCCCGCCACCACGCCCAGCTAATTTTTTGTATTTTTAGTAGAGACAGGGTTTCACCGTGTTAGCCAGGATGGTCTCGAGCTCTTGACCTCATGATCTGCCCGCCTCGGCCTCCTAAGTGCTGGGATTATAGGTGTGAGCCACCGCTCCTGGCCCTCCTTTTTTTTCAAAAAAACAAACAAACAAAAAAACAACAGGAGGTTAAGGCAGGAGGATGGCGTGAACCTGGGAGGCAGAGCTTGCAGTGAGTCGAGATCCTGTCACTGCACTCCAACCTGGGCGACAGAGTGAGACTCCGTCTTAAAAAAAAAACCAAAACAACAACAACAACAACAACAATAAACAGTTTATTCAGTAATTACGTATACGTATTTTAGCTTCCAAAGTCAGTGATGGAACAAACTGAGTCCCATTAGGCCCACTCCATTGCATGAGTTAGCATCAGAGGAGGACAAACCAGAGTGACATCATCTTGAATATGGGCTAGGTGAGAAGAGGATGAGGCCTTCTGGGCTGCATTCCCAGGAGGTTAGGCGTTCGTAGTCACAAGATGAGATAGGAGGTGGGTAGGAATGGTTTCACAAGATACAGGTCATAAAGACCAGGATGCAGGCTGGGTGTGGTGCCTTATGCCTATAATGCCAGTACTTTGGGAGGCCAAAGCAGGAGGATTGCTTAATCCTAGGAGTTCAAGAGCAGCCTGGGCAACATAGTGAGACCTTATCTCTACAAATAATTTTTATTTTTTGAAATGGAGTCTTGCTCTGTCACCCAGGCTGGAGTGCATGTTGGCTCACTGCAACCTCCACTTCGTGGGTTCAAGCAATTCTCCTGTCTCAGCCTCCTGAGTAGCTGGAATTACAGGCGCACACCACCACATCTGGCTAATTTTTTTGTATTTTTAGTAGAGATGGGGTTTCACCATGTTGGCCAGGCTAGTCTTGAACTCACCTCAGGTGATCTGCCTGCCTTGGCCTCCCAAAGTGCTGGGATTACAGGCATGAGCCACCATGCCCAGCCTCTACAAATAATTTTTTTTTTTTTTGAGATGGAGTCTCAGTCTGTCGCCCAGACTGGAGTGCAATGGCGCAATCTCCGCTCACTGCAGCCTCCACCTCCCTGGTTCAAGCGCTTTTCCTTACAAGTAATTTTTTAAAAATGAGCTGGGTGTGGTGGTTTCACAAGATACAGGTCATAAAGACCCCAGGATGTGGGCCAGGTGTGGTGGCTTATGCCTGTAATCCCAGTACTTTGGGAGGCCAAGGCAGGAGGATTGCTTAAGCCTAGGAGTTCAAGACCAGCCTGGACAACATAGTGAGACCTCATCTCTACAAATAATTTTTAAAAAATGAGCTGGGTGTGGTGGTGCAGGCCTGTAGTCCCAGCTCTTGGGCTGGGCGTAGGGGTCAACTCAGGTGGGAGGATTGCTTGAGCCCAAGAGTTCAAGGATACAAATGAGCTATGATTGTGCCAGTACACTCCAGCCTGGACAACAGTGCAAGACCCTGTTTCATAAATAAATTAAAAAACCCCCAAAACCCAGGATGCAATGAAGAAGGAAGCCCAAACCCACCAAAACCAAGATGGCGATGAAGGTGACCTCTGGTCATCCTCACTACCCATTATATGCTAATTATAATGCATTAGCATGCTAAAAGATACCATCAGCACCATGACAGTTTGCAAATGTCATATCAATGACAGGAAGTTACCATATATGGTGGAAAAAGGAAGGAACCTTCAGTTCTGGGAATTTCCTCCCTGTTTCTGGGAAAACTCATGAATAATGCACCCTTTGTTTAACATAAAATCAAGAAATAACCATAAGTATACTCAGTTAAGCAGCTCATGTGGCTGCTCTGCCTATGGAGTAGCCACCCTTTTTGATTCCTTTACTTTCGTAATACATTTGCTTGAATTCCTTCCTGGTAAAGCCAAGAACCCATGTGGCCTCCCACGGTGATCTTCAATTTTGGGATTCACCCTGTGACTTTAGGAGCAACTTAGGGATCCAGTACATCCCAGGCCAAGACTAACGTGGTGATTTTCAGGGGGTTATGTTAAAACTAGGGGCTCTGCCCAGGACCCTTACTGTGGCTTCTTCAGTCAAGAACTTACTGGCCCCAGCCCCTACAAGTTCATTCACAGTTCCTTCTCACTGACTTCACCAGTGACCACTACCAGTGACTTCAAAGGAGAAATGATGGGGGAGATAAAATAAAGTGAATGGGGAAGAGATAAAGAAGAGAGGTCTTTTCACGGTGTGCCAGAATAGTCCCTTACAGTGGTTTTACCGCAGGGCAGCAGGGGCCCCCTTTTAATTTCTTTCTCTCTTTTAATTTTCTTTTCCCTTCCCTCCTTTCTTCTTTCCCACTTTTTGCTTTATTTGTGTCTTATGGACGGTCAATTTCCATCCTTTCTCTACTTCTTCATTCCCAGATTTGGCTGTAGAAAATTAGAAAGTTCTTGAACTTGGTTTGCACAGGTGCGTTTACCTTAACATGAAAATGAATGATCAGCCTCCTGTTAATTTTATCCTAGAGTCTACTGCATCCCTCCTGCCCCCTGCACAGGAATTTAGTCACACTTATCTCTCCCACTTTCTCTCCCTTCTTCACTTTCTCTGTTCCTCCTCCTTTGATGCCTGTACCTGGTTTTCCATGCCCTGTTTAGCCTGGCTTGGGATCCAGCAGGTTCTCCGAGGGTTCCTGTGAGAACCCAGGCTGGGTGCCCAGGTCTGAGCCTGGTATGTGCCTCAGTATCACAAAGGCCTCCTGTAAATGACCTCCATTGTTGAAAGTTTCAGAAATTCTAGGTCAAAATGGCACTTAAATATTAAGGTATTTACTCCAACCCGAGCAACTTTTCTAAAAGTTGTAGAGGGTGTTACCTCTTTATTAATCGAAACGTGAAAATCAGCTCTAGTTTGGAAGCTGAGAAAATATATATATATATATGTATTTATTTCTTTGTTGTTCTAATTCTTGATATAAAGGTTTAAAGGACCATTGAAAGCTGCATGCAATCACAGAAGGTTTTGGCTTCAGGCAGCTCCCGCCCTGATCTTGGGGCTCCATTGATTCTTTCATCTTTCAGGCGTCTTACTGTTTGAACCTTGAATTTTAACCTGGGACATGTTTGACTAAAATGATGCTGTTAATATTTTCTATTGTGCAAAACACAAAGAGAACTAGGCTCCAGGATTATTTCTATTTGCTAATGCTGTTTCTGTTGACTTTTGACTTTTCTAGTTTCCCAGAGCTATGGGGACTTCCCATCCGGCGTTCCTGGTCTTAGGCTGTCTTCTCACAGGTACGGAGCCCAGTCCTCTCTGAGTTCCTTGTTTGGGTGTCTTGTTTTCTAAGCTTTGTGCTCCATGGGTTTATTACCAGTACTCCACATGCACAGTCCAAAAGAATGAAATGAAATAGAAAACTACAGGACGTTATCCAGAATGACCACAAACTTTCAGTTCCCTTTGCTGTATTGCACTTACTCCATTTCAAAAGGAATGCTCTCCAGTGGCAGTTTTAGTAATATATATAATGTTGGCATTGAAATGTTGTTAGTAATAATGTCTAAATTTACTTACTACTCTCTTCCTTTTCCTAGGACAAGGCTTCTATTAGAGCTAGATTAGATAAATTCAGGAATGGTCAACTGTGGGAGGTGGCACATCTGTTGTCCCAGCTCCTTGAGCAGCCGAGGTGGGAGGATCCCTTAAGGCAAGGAGTTCCAGGTTGCAGTGCACAGTGATTATGCCTGTGACTAGCCACCACACTCCAGCCTGGGCACCATAGCAAGACCTCATTAAAAAAAAATGTTCAAAGAAAATAAATAATAGAAAATTCTTGCCCAAGAAATCATACCTGTCTTAAATCATAACTCTCCTGATGAAAGATGCTTACATTGCTTCCAAATCTCAGAGTCACCTTTATCTTCTCTAGGAATCAAATTGATAGATAAATGTTTGGTTCTTGGAAAATCTTAAAAACTTTCCCACCAAAAGGATGCCATTGGGGTAATTTGTTGATGTATTGGACTTTCTTAGTTTTCCTCCAGATATTTATGCACTGCAGATGTTTGCCATGGAACCAGTGCTCTTCTATTCTGAGGAGTTAGCTCAGCCCGTTAGTGTCTTTGTCTTACTCATTTGGATATGGTAGAATTGAGCAAGACCAGAGATTTAACAGATGTAAGCTCCACTAAGTATACCCCATCTACAGAGTAACAGGTGATCCAGATGTGCTTACAAATCCTACCTTAACAAGCTTCAGGAATTATAGTGGTCATATATTGAAGTTGGGTGGGAGTCTCACATCAGGCTCCAAGGGAGATTACAAATCATTAATTAATAATTAAGTCAAAATATCTCTTCTATCAGTCTTGGGTTTCTTGTTTTCTAAGTTCTGTGCTCCATGGGTTTATTATCTGTGCTCTGCATACACAGTCCAAAAGAGTGAAAAGAAATAGAAAACTACAGGACGTTATCCAGAATGACCACAAACCTTCAATTCCTTTGCTATATCACATTTACTCTATTTCAAAAGGAGTAAGTTCAGTTTCAGTCTAAATAAGCGAGACTGAAATTTGAGGTTCAAAGATGAACTGAGAGTTTTCACTCGGGTTTTACTTACCAATTGTGAATTAAAATCCATATCATCTGGCACCACTGCACTCCAGCCTGGGTGACAGAGCAAGACTCCATCTCATAAAATCAAATAAATATATAAACAAATAAATAAATCCACATCTTCCTGCTTTGGCCCTGGAAGTCATGAGGGAGAGACAGCATGCCCAAGGGCTATAAGAAATGGAAAATGTGGAATTCTTGAGCACAGATGTGCTTTGTGTTTTGTTCAGTCCATATCCTTGCCTCTGTTCTCATTCCATGTGTTTTGTTTTGTTTTTTTGAGACAAGGTCTCTCGCTCTATTGCCCAGGCTGGAGTGCAGAGGCTCACTGCAGCCTCAATCTCCTGGGCTCCAGTGATCCTCTTACCTCAGCCTCTGGAGTAGCTGGGACTACAGGTGTGCACCAGCACACCTGGCTAATTTTTTTATTTTTTATTTTTTGTGGAGACCAGGTCTCACTATGTTGCCCAGGCTGGTCTCAAACTCCTGAACTCAAGCGATCCTCCCACTTTCACCTCCCAAAGTGCAGGGATTACAGACATGAGCCGCTGCACCCCAGCCTCATCTCATTTTAACTAAGGGAAACCTCTGCAGTGACTGTGAACCATAAAGAACCCATATGTGCCTGAGCCTGTGCCATCTTGGGATATTTTATGGTTACACATAAGAGTCTGAAATATGGAATTGGAATCGGACATCCTCTGTCCATTTGAGTGTTTGGAGGAGTGAATCTAGTGGGGCTTGGTGGAGCTATCTGGAACATTTGCTGCTCTCAGCAGATGCAGTGGCTGTTATAATGGGGGACCTTTCATGGGCATCCAGGCTAACGGATTTTTGTGTAGAAATGGTCATTGTTCATCTAAGCTGCTACTGTTGCTTCTCTCAGTTCTCGGGATGAGACCGTCCTTTCTGGTTGCATCCTATTCAGAGCGTGTTTCCTTTTGCAGGGCTGAGCCTAATCCTCTGCCAGCTTTCGTTACCCTCTATCCTTCCAAATGAAAATGAAAAGGTTGTGCAGCTGAATTCATCCTTTTCTCTGAGATGCTTTGGGGAGAGTGAAGTGAGCTGGCAGTACCCCATGTCTGAAGAAGAGAACTCTGATGTGGAAATCAGAAATGAAGAAAACAACAGTGGCCTTTTTGTGACAGTCTTGGAAGTGAGCAGTGCCTCGGCGGCCCACACAGGGCTGTACACTTGCTATTACAACCACACTCAGACAGAAGAGAATGAGCTTGAAGGCAGGCACATTTACATCTATGTGCCAGGTGAGTGGGATGGGTCCCCAGGACCGAGCTTCTTCTCTTCCTGTCTTTCCTGTTAAATGTACTAAGGTTTTAAACATATATATAAATAATTAATATTTATTGCAGGAAGTTTGAAAGATGTAAGCGAACACACAGAAATAAAAATCATTTGTAATATTATCAAGAAATATTCATTGTTAGCATTTCAGAGCTGTATTAAGTTTGGAAAGTCATCTTTGTTATGACATGTCCTATATTGATACTGTATAAACAATCTGAAATATACTCATCTCTATTCAGTTCATTCAAGTTGCACACATACTCACAGTGTGTCCAGCACTGGGCTACGTGTTGAGTATACAAAAATTAATAGGTAAGCCCGGTCTTGGAGTTGCTGATAGTTCATTATAATATCTTCCAAATAAACACTCGATTTTTCAGATTCACTATCAATATGCATTTATTCTGAGAGTTGGAAGGTATTTTCTTTTTCCTTTTAAAAAGTTATATGTGTGTATATATATATATTTTTTTTTGAAACAGGTTCTCACTCTGTTGCCCAGGCTGGAATGCAGTGGCATGATCATGGCTTACTGCAACCTCAATTCCCCTGGTTCAAGCGATCCTCCCACTTCAGCCTCCCAAGTAGCTGGGATTACAGGCATGCACCACCACGCCTGGCTAATTTTTATATTTAAAAAATTTTTGTGTGTGTGTATTTTCATTTGAGACAGGGGTTTCACCATATTGACCAGGCTGGTCTTGAACTCCTGACCTTAAGTAATCTATCTGCTTCGGCCTCCCAAAATGCTGGGATTACAGGCGTGAGCCACTATGCCGAAATTTTTGTATTTTTTTTGTAGAGATAAGGGTTTCACTGTGTGGCCCAGGCTGGTCTCGAACTCCTGGGCTCAAGTGAGCCCCACCCACCTCAGCCTTCCAAAGTTCTGGGGTTACAGGCGTGAGCCATTGGGCCCGGCCTACTCCTACATTTTAATTAAAAGGACAAAGGATTGAACACAAGTGGTGGCAATTTCAGTATGCAGTTGGGTAAATTAAAAAGGACTGTGGCCAGAATCCTTGGTTTTAGAACAAAACAGAAACCGCTTAGGATTCTTGCCATCCTTGCTGTTTTGGCATAGGTCGAGGAAGGGGGTTCTCACAGAAGTGTGTCTTCCTACCTTTCTGCCTTTTCTTTTTCAGTTTTTAATGGGCTCCTCTTCCTACCCTCTGTAACTATGGGTGTCCCCAGGGACCTAGACCCTCTTTACTTCTTTCATGATAGTCTTATTCATATGAGCCTTCCTTCTTAACAATTAAGGAAAAAATAAACAACTTTGTTTTGAAAAGGGAAGACATTTAGAATGTCACCCCAACTTCATTCACACTTAGATTCCTTCAGGAAAATCCTCTAGGTGTGGAGGGATTTTCTCCTGCTGTGAAGAGAATGGTAGGATCGTGAATATGTTAAAGGCACACAAGTCCCTGAAGTTTTAATCCGTGTAAGATTGTCCAAAAATTCTTCTTGTTCCCTATCTTTTTCCAGCACAGACGCCATCCAAGTAGCCCCTGCATCGCTGTCTGACAGAGATCTTTTTATTTCACAATAATGGAGATTTAGGGGCCTTTTCTGCAGCTGATGTCTGAGACTCTTAGAACTTCTTACCACCGTAGCTTAAGTAGCTGTTTTTCTTTTGGAAAGGAAATTCTCAGGCTCCTTCTCCTTCTCCTTCTTTAAATTTTATGTATTTCTCAAAGGATTACTTTTTAACAAACACATTTCTGTGCTACTTTTCAATCGTACTGACTACAGGTGATAAGAGTTTTTTGAAAGTATTTCATAATAAAACTAGAAATATTTTTTCCTGTTTTGAACAGAGTTGGACTCTATTAAATATTTTATTGTTCATTTTTGTTTTTAGTTGTTTAAATTTTGATTTAGATTCCTGGTTAGTATTTATTTATTTATTTGTAGAGACAGGGTCTCTCTATGTTGCCCAGCCTGGTCTCAAACTCCTGAACACAAGCAACCCTCCCACCTTGGCTTCCCAAAGTGCTGGGATTAAAGGCATGAGCCACAACTCTTATCCAGTATTAATACTTATCATCAGTATTATTCCATCAGGAGACAGGCAATTTGATATTATTCACACTTAAAAATCACTTTGTAGCTGTCATGATAACTAATGCCAGTGGGGCAATTCTTCTGGATATATGTGTAAAGGTGAACTTCATACCTAATATCAATACTGCCAGTGGGATAGTGTTTCTGGATTTATGTGTAAAGGTGAAATTAATGTCTAATGGAGTCTTCATTCTTTTTTAAACCACAGACCCAGATGTAGCCTTTGTACCTCTAGGAATGACGGATTATTTAGTCATCGTGGAGGACGATGATTCTGCCATCATACCTTGTCGCACAACTGATCCTGAGACTCCTGTAACTTTACACAACAGTGAGGGGGTGGTACCTGCCTCCTACAACAGCAGACAGGGCTTTAATGGGACCTTCACTGTAGGGCCCTATATCTGTGAGGCCACCGTCAAAGGAAAGAAGTTCCAGACCATCCCATTTAACGTTTATGCTTTAAAAGGTACTCGTATCATCTCCTTCCTTCTTTAAATAAGAGTAACAGGCATAATCATCAGGTGCATGTATGATTTTTTTTTTTAAATCATCACCACTGGTGATCCTAAATTCTGATTTGGGGATTTAGGACCCCAGCTAATACAGTGTCAGGGTGACCTCTATGGCTATAATAATAAGCTTAAAATTACTAAAGGCTAAAGCTTGATTACTCATGCAAGATTTCATGTTTCATCAGTTGACTTCAAAATACTGTAAGGAATTCTTTTCTTACATAAGCCTCTTACTTTCATTCACATTCCTGACTACGGAGGCCCTAAAACAAGCATACACCGCGGGGGTTAGATTCCTAGATTAATTTAGTAACTTAAGGAAAATGATTTCAATTCTGAAGAAAGTAGTTGTAGACTTCAACCCTTTGATGTCCACAGTTAGTACGCTTGGGGAAGTATAATACATGCTGAGGTCAACAGATATTTCCTGACCACTATTCTATGTGGAGAAATGGGTAGCAGCAAGAGTACACTGTTTTAAAATCAGAGCACAGCTAATTTTGTGCCAGGCACTGTGCTGGGTTCTGGGAAAGTACTGAGAATAACTGAGGAGCAGAGTGGAAGAGAAGAAGAGAAGAAAAAATTGGATAGAAACAAAGTGTCTAGAGCAGTGGATCATCAAAGGTTGGTTGATTAAATGAATAAGTATGTCAGTCAAGGTGATTGTAGACGAGTATAACCATAACTAACGCACTGCTGAGGAATGCGGTGTTCTGTTTGATTGGAACTTATTTTTATTGTTATTATTTTATAATTCTGTATTATAACTATACACCTAATTGTTGTACACCATCTCAAAATCAAGCCTTGTGAGATTTTCTAAATTTTATCTTGATCAGGGCTTTTATTCATAATTGGTTCACAAATTATTTTTCAGGGTTTTCTTAAAAAAACAAAAAACAACACCCAAACTTTATAAGATCCTTACTATCCTATGGATTTTTAGGCCCTTGTATTTGTTCTTTTTTATAGCAACATCAGAGCTGGATCTAGAAATGGAAGCTCTTAAAACCGTGTATAAGTCAGGGGAAACGATTGTGGTCACCTGTGCTGTTTTTAACAATGAGGTGGTTGACCTTCAGTGGACTTACCCTGGAGAAGTGGTAGGTACCCTCAAAATGTGCAATGGCTTGGAGCAGAGCAGCAGGGCTCAGAAGACCTGCATTTGTGCTGGGTCTGTCACTGATGGGCACATCACTGAGTTTCTCTAGACCTTAGCTTCCCACCTCTATGATGAACACATTTGATTAAAAAGCCTTTAGGGCTCCTTGATCAATGGGCGAGTTTGAAACGACAGTTGCTAGACCAGGGCCTTCAGAATACATAAAGAGTGTGCACTAAGCGTTCTTTCTCAGAAGTCAGACAGAAATAGTAAGGTTCTCTGGCTACAAAATATCAACCAAAAAATTAGAAGAGCAAAAAAACCGCTGGATTTTACTATTGCGGAGAGTCATTAATTGTCATTGTCTTGGCTTCTGTGCTCCTGACGGTTGATTCATCTGATAGTGTTTATTGCCTGCACTCCTTCCTCTTCTGCCTTGTTGACACTGAGGACAGTGTGTCTTCCTGTTCCACCTCCTATGTGCCTGACCTTTGCATGGCTCACGTTCAGTGAACAGTCACTATGTAATCATTCAACAAAGGTTTAATGATGTTTTACTCAATCTCAAGCACTGTACCAGAAGCTGGTCCAATATTGCCGGATGAAGGGAGGAGGGGAGATGGAAGTGGGGAAAGGGAGCCACCATGCTGCCTCTTGGTCACTGGAGATTTACACAGAGTCTCAGTCATTCGAATGCATTGTCACTAAGTAAGAGAGGCATGTGTAAGAGGCTATGAATGCCCAAATGCAGGAATGACTAACATTCTTATGGAGAACAAAAACCAGATATATATATTTCTTCCCTCTTCTCCTGACTTGTAAATTTCTGCTCCCTGTTCTTTTAGGCATTTGACAGCTTTCTGTCCTTCTATCCATTGATCTCCCTCCTTATATACATTTCTCTCTCCCATGCATTTGCCACTGCTTTTCATTCGTCCTGGAGCATCTGATAGGAAGGTGGGCATTTTCACTATTGCCTCATAAACTTCACACGGTGAAGGGACATTTACAGTCCAACAAATGTACATCTTCCCTGAAATATGGAGTGATTTGGTTCTTCTGTTCACACTTGATTGCCATTAATCTCTAACACATAACACTGCTTTTTATTTATAGGATACGGTATTTTTTTCCCAAACCAAAGTACATGCTATTTGGCTTACAAATATATAATCAAAGTATTGTTTCATACAATATGTTTTTTTCTGATTGTAAAAGTAATGCAGGTTTAATGCAGAAACTTTGTAAAATACGGAGAGACAAAGGAAAGGCTACTTCCCAGAGCATCGCTGTTTATATTTTAGGGAGATAAAACTTTTATTTTTTATTTGTCTTTCTTTCGTTTTTTTTTTTTTTGTAGAGATGAGGGTCTCACTACATTGCCCAGGCTGGTCTCGAATTCCTGGACTTAAGTGATCCTCCTACCTTGGCCTTTCAAAGTGTTGGGATTACACATGTGAGCCTCTGAGATTGACTGAGATAAAGTTTTTAAATATTTCTTATCCATAGATAAACATTGAATAATTAATAGGTGTTATTCTTTAAACAGTAGTTTGTTACATTTTTTATCCTTTAGCAGTATAGCACAAACACCTTATATGTGTCATTAACTATCCTTTTAAAAAATTGGCTGGGTGTGGTAGCTCATGCCTGTAATCCCAATACTTTGGGAGGCCGAGACAGGAGGGTCACTTGAGGCCAGGAGTTTGAGATCAGCCTGGGCAATGTATCGAGACTCCGTCTCTACAAAAATGTTTTAAAAATTAGCCAGGCGTGGTGGCATGAGCCTGTAGCCTCAGCTACTCTGGAGACCAAGGTAGGAGGATCGCTTGAGCTCAGGAGGTTGAGGCTTCAGTGAGCCATGATTGTGCCACTGCACTCCAGCCTGGGCAGCAGAGCGAGATTCTGTCTCTAGAAAAATTAAAAACAAAATAAAAAATCTCATGATTTTCTAAGCAGCTAGCTTTTTTTCTTTAGGTTTTATCTTTTAGAGCAGTTTTAGGTTTACAGCAAAATTGAGTGAGAGGTACAGAGATTTCCGACGTGTTTCCTGCTCCCACACATGCATAGCCTCCCCGCTTGTCAACATTCCTGCCATCCATTTGCTACAACTGATGAACCTCCATTGACACATCGTATCACCCAGAGTCCATAGTCTACCTTAGAGTTCACTCCTAGGAGCGAGCTTTTTAAAAGTCGGTTTTCTTCCCCTTTTGCTGTAGAAAGGCAAAGGCATCACAATGCTGGAAGAAATCAAAGTCCCATCCATCAAATTGGTGTACACTTTGACGGTCCCCGAGGCCACGGTGAAAGACAGTGGAGATTACGAATGTGCTGCCCGCCAGGCTACCAGGGAGGTCAAAGAAATGAAGAGAGTCACTATTTCTGTCCATGGTACATTCCGCTTTCTAAAATGTCAGTCGTCCATGCTGCTCGGGATCCATATGTGGTAATCTTTATTTAATGGAAACTCTTCCCTGTACAGAGAAAGGGTTCATTGAAATCAAACCCACCTTTAGCCAGTTGGAAGCTGTCAACCTGCATGAAGTCAAACATTTTGTCGTAGAGGTGCAGGCCTACCCACCTCCCAGGATATCCTGGCTGAAAAACAATCTGACTCTGATTGAAAACCTCACGGAGATCACCACTGATGTGGAAAAGATTCAGGAAATAAGGTAAAGAAACACTCTGCCCAAGTATGCCTTTTTTTAGTGTGCATCAGAGGTGGACTGAGGTTTGTGTGTGTCTTACAACCCAGACCCAAAGTCATTCTAGAAAATGTAGCAATCTGAGTTCAGAGATGCTTGAAATCACATCCCTTTAATGATAACATTGCAATATGGTATTAGTATGCTGGTAAGTATTTAATGAGAAGATGAGAAGAAAGAACTAAAAGCTCTGGCTCCTGGGGAAAGACAGGTCACTGTATTCAGCTAGGGTGGAAGAAAGGAAGTAAAATTGGACTCACCAGGATTGAATAGATGGAATACATTCCCTGATGTTCATCATCCATATTGCAAGTAGACATGTATGGTGATTACACCCATGAGGTAGTTATCACATCACCTTACGTGAAAGTTAACATCATAGGCTTAATCTGGAACCCATTTGCCCTAACTGAGGACTCCACAGGAAAGAAGAGTAGAGCCTGGCTGACTTTAGTCAGGAAAGAGATGTGCAGTGAATCACTTGGATCCCTGCCTTTTAATCAGAATGGTTGATTGCTCTCATCTCTTAACTGGTGGTGGTGTTTTGAGTGAGTCACCCTCAGCCACAGTTTCCTGATCTACAATGTAGGGTAAACAATACCTTATGTCCTTCGAGGCAAGGAATTGGATCAGATGATATCATGGGGCTTCTTGAGGTTTTAAGCTGTGATTAGAACCCAAGAGTCAGAAGGTACATCTTGCAGCACCCAGCTAACCAGCCCTATACTTTTGTCAGAAATCATCTCAGAAAGACAAAGTCAGTCCTCTATTTCAAGCCTTCAGGAGGAGGAAGAACAGAGCCTTTCTCATCAGTTCAGTTCACCTCATGATTTGCTTTCTTCTTTCTGAACTAAATTCCACGTGTAATTGAGAAGCAGTCTGAGAAAATGGAATTTTACAACCTCTATAGAATAGTAAAGGAAAAATGAAGTGGGGTACTGAATCTGGTAGGCTTTCTGTTGACACAAAATGAAGGTGCACAACAAGGAGGGCAGCTTTCCATAAGGAACTTCCATGAGGCTGTGCAGCCAGAGAGGAGTAGGGTAACACTGGTACAGCTAACACCTCCAACACATGTGTGAGCATTGTCTGCAAGCCATAATCCACAGCAATGGCAGGACAGGCTTGCCAACTGAGTGGTTCTGGAAAGCTGCGTTTTCCTTTCAGTGATTCAAGGATCCTTCGGTGTGTATTTTTTAGTTCCTATTATGAACCAGTGAATATAAAGATGAACATGGTAGGTGGGGGATCTGGCTTCCTGGAGCTTAAAACTAGTGGACCCACTGGTTTTCTTGGCTGAAGAAGTGTAGACAACAAACAGCAGAGGATAATTTGGTAATCAGCATCCCAGTGTGCCCTAGGGGACTCTCTAAGGAAATCTAGTCCTGGAGCACGCCCAGTATGGTTCAGCCTGCTCTCATCATAGGTCTGAGTGCCCCAGCATTTGCAAAGTGTTTTGCAGCCTATGAAATCCTTTCACACATACAATCTCCTTTAATTAACTCTCACAACGACTCTGTGCTATGTGTACAATTATCACGTTTTACACACAAGGAAACTGAGGCATGGAGAATTGTAATAATGCCTGAGATCTTCTCACTCCATGACCAGTGCTTTTCTTTTCCATTCTAGTTGCTTTTTCACACTGTAATGATTTATAAAGGACAATCCAATGGGCACATACTATGTTTATGCACACGCATGCACACACACACACACACACACACACACACACAACCAGATGTCATTTATAATCCATGTAAAATATTTTTGGGGAAGCTTCTCTTTAATAAAATTTGAAGAGGCATATTTTTTCTAACATTTTTTTTTTTTTTTGAGATGGAGTCTTGCAAGCTCTGTCACCCAGGCTGGAGAGTGCAGTGGTACGATCATAGCTCACTGCAACCTCTGCCTCCTGGGTTCAAGCAATTCTTTAGCCTCAGCCTCCTGAGTAGCTGGGATTACAGGTGTGTGCCACCATGCCTGGCTAATTTTTTTTTTTTTTGTATTTTTAGTAGAGATAGGGGTTTCACTATGTTGGTCAGGCTGGTCTTGAACTCCTGACCTCAAGTGATCCACCCGCCTTGGCCTCCCAAAGTGCTGGGATTACAATGTGAGTCATCACACCCAGCCTATAACTTTTTTTTTTAATAGGTGATAGAATCCCATGCTTGAAAAATAATCAAACATAAAGAGAGTACATTGTAAGAAGCCTTACTGTACTCCTGTCCCCAACTGCCCAATTCTCCCCTCCTTCCCACAGGGAAACACCTTTATTAGTTTAATTAGGTTCTTAGGAAACCTTCCAGAGTTTCTTTTAAGCAAAATACAAGCAAGTAGGAATGTCATATCCTGTGGACCTCTCCATACCAATATGTAGAAAGTGTCCTTATTCTGTCCTCCAGTGGTATTCCATTGTTTTACTGAACCACCTAAATGATGGATATTTAGGGGAAGCAAATATTTTTTTTAAAAAGGTAAAAATCAAAGGGTTTGTTTTGTTTTGTTTTGTTTTTTTAAAGAAAAGCTGGTAGGCTGTGTTTATTCTTTCAGAAGTCAGACCCTGGCTGAACTGATAGCTCTTGGAGATGACCACTGCTCATCTCTGAATGTCTGATTTTCTCTTGTAAGAATTGTGTGTATGATCCAGACCTTCAGTACGTGCACTGAATATTGAGAATTCCAGAAGAGATGATATGGACAAGGAAAAAAAGATGACTTTAGTTTTTACAGTAAAAATAAAACTTAAATTGAATAGTACAATTGCTTAAACAATTGGAACTTACTTAGCTACTGCTTGTTGAAACAAAATCCTTTTTTTAAAAGGTATCGAAGCAAATTAAAGCTTATCCGTGCGAAGGAAGAAGACAGTGGCCATTATACTATTGTAGCTCAAAATGAAGATGATGTGAAGAGCTATACTTTTGAACTGTTAACTCAAGGTACGTAAAGGGAGTATAAAGATAATGCTAACTCTGTAGATGAGTGCCTTCCAAGGAAAGCCTAGCACCTTCCTCTTGGGTCATGGAAGAAAAGCAACACTTAGGGGAGAAGCAGTGTCTGCAGATGTCACATATTAGGGATACCTCTGCTGGACTTAGGAATTCAGGTATTTCTTGGAGGTTCTGGGTTACTCTAGAGTTGGCGGGGAATCCCTAGGCTCCACTAGCTTTTTTTATTTTTGTAGAGATGGTCTCTTGCCATGTTGCCCAGGCTGGTCTCCTGAGTTCAAGCTGTCTTCCCACCTTGGCCTCTTAAAGTACTGGGATTACAGGTGTGAGCCACTGCACCTGGCCTCCACCAGCTTGCTTAGCACCTGCTTCTCTATCTGAGAAGAGAGAAGTGATACTTTTTGGTCCGGATGATCTTAGATTGTTCTGGAGAGTTTTGCTACAAGTTTTCCTTATAGACATTGTACACCAGTCCCTACCAGAATGGAGTGCCTAAGTCTGTTTACATTCAGGCTCAGCACCTATCCCCAGTCCCAGCCATGTGCCAGGTGCCGTCTGAGGTGCATTCATGTGATCCTCACAGTAAAACCTGTGATACAAGCATCACCGTATACCTAATTTATTTGACCACAGATTTAGGAACGAATCTTTAAAACCTAATAACATACCACAGATGCATTTTGGTAAAAGCTGCTTTAGATTATACTTTAGCCGAATCCATTAGTTGAATCCTAAGCTATAATATAATTTTAAGAACTTCCTTGCCTTTCAAGCCAAATAACCAAGGGACTTTCTCCCTCCCTCCCTCTTTCCCTCCCTCCCTCCCTCCCTTCCTTCCTTCCTTCCTTCTTCCCTCCCTCCCTTGTTCTCTTTTCCTTTCCTTTCTCTCCTTCCTTCCCTCTTCCCTGACTCTCTCTTTTCTTTTCCCTCCCTTCCTTCCTTCC